GGACAGACCCAAACCGGCAATTTGGGGGCTGGTGAAAACGGCGGCATAGCGCAGGGGGTTGCTGATGGCCACAAAATGGTCAAAGGCCATGGTCAGCAGCACAGAGGACTCCATGATGGAGAAGGTGTGAATGAAGAAGAGCTGGGCCAGGCACAGGTCCACTGCCACCTCCTAGAGACCCAGCAGATAGATGAGGAGCATGGTGGGCAGTGTGGAGGCAGACAGGCCCAGTTCGGTCACTGCCAGCATGGACAGGAAGTAGTACATGGGCTGCTGCAGAGAAGGCTCTGACCTCACCACCCACAGGATCAGGCTGTTCCCTGCCAGAGTAGCTACATACATGGCACACAGAGGGAAGGAGAGCCAGGAGTGTGTGACCTGGAGTCCCGGAAGGCCTATCAGGAAAAGGAGGTGAGGGTGTGGTTGGAGTCTGACATCGTGACAGGAGGGGTAGAACTGCAGGAGGAAGTACAATCACAGGTCCTGGAAAAGGATGGGTGGCTGGGTTAGAACATCTTCTGTATATCTTGAAGGCTGCTGGAAGTATTTCCCTGACAACCCTAACCTTATAATTTGTCCAAGTATTTCCCCTAGTTCATAAATAAGGGGTTCTTAAGAAAATATGAGTTGGTTTAATTATTGAAAGAAGTCTTCTATGCATAGAATGCCTGACTTAGAAGCCAAATAACAAAATTTATCCCCAATAAGAGTTTGAACATGGCTCTTGAAAGGGACTGAAGTAGTGTGGATTCCAACTCTTCATTACATATATTGGGAAGTACACTTTAGTTTTCAATATAAGTAATGTGTCAAATGTGGAAACAGAATTCAGGTGTCCTTCCTTCCTGTCAAATCTTCACACTACCTTTCAATTTGTACTTCTCCAATTTGGTGAATATATGAATTTTACAGAGACATCTTCTTGCTTAATTAAAGTCATGCAATATAAAACAATTTCCTTTATCATGTGAGCCCACTCTCAAAAGTTAGCAGATCAGTTTTTCCAAACTGAGAAACATGAGTATTCAAGTATATAACTGTGTCAAAACCACTTGGATCATAAAAGGAGGTGCCAAGACTGGAAATAAGGCTAATTGACTTTGTGCTTTGCATTCTGAATATTGAGCTCTGTAGCTGAAGACAAATGCTAGCTGTTAACAGACTCCAGATACTCACACAACTTATTCTTTAATCAAAACAAATAAAACAAAATTCTTGCTAATTCAATTTTTTTCCCATTTCATATATGTTGGTCACTTCTGATTTTCTTCTTATAATCTACCTTAGTACCTCCACATGAGATGTGTGCACTTTTATTCAGTAATTATATTGTTCTAGATTCTGTTCTAGATTCAAGAAATAGAGTTATGAAAAATAGTACTAATAAAGTCCTAATAATAAAAAAATAGAGACAATGTTATTTCAAATATATGAAGAAAAGGAAATAATATGGAAAAAGAAGAATGTTTGTTAAATGAGATTGAGAATTTAAGGGAGCACTCTCTGAAGAGGGGACACATGAGGTTAGAACAAAGCAGCTCTGTTTCTGTACTCTATTTCTTTAAAGTCAGAGAAAATCACACATACTTACTAAACTGAAAGGCTCCTCACTTTACCCATTGGCCTCAGATGCAGAGGCACAAGCACAATGGATGTCTGTAGTGTAATAAGAATCAGAATTCTTGACTTTATTTCACATACTCAGCCTTTGATTAAAAGGACACATACAAAACACTGAGATGTTCATGTATGTGAAGAATTTTATTTTTGTATATATCAAGCTGTGGTGATTGCCTAGAAAAGAAAGTGTTTTGCGTCTGTGTGTGTGTGTGCTAGTTTTTCTTGTTTTAGTTGTTAAAATATAGTTGTTGAGAGATTTTAATAATAAGAAACAGAAGAATTCATTTGAAAAGGCAGGGCTTCTGTTTCTGACTCTGGCTTCAGCACAGAAACACTGAGGAGGGCAAAAACAACAACTTCCAGCAAAGCTTGGATTGAAGCATAAGTTATTTCTCCAAAAAATGTTAAGAATGCACTATGAGCTTCTTGTATTGGGGAATTATTCCTTTTGGCTGGTCAGATTTTTAACCAGCTGTAGATCTGTGGCATTGTGGATCAAACTATGGGATGCTATGCAGGATTTTCCAACTATTAATAATATCTGTTTTCTTCTACAACCACAATAGGATTCAGAACAAATGCATTAACAGCTAATATTCTGCCATGATAGTGATAAGCAAAAATGATGTTATGAGTTTTATGTTCACAAAAAATTCCCTCTTCACAGTAGGTACTTACTTACTTATGTTAATACCATGCTGACTTCGGTTTTTCCATCATCTAAAAAGGGGAACTAGATTGATTTTACTAATTCTTATTGCATATAAATTTTATAGGTTTATATGATGATAAAATAAGAGGGTGGATAGAAAAGTCTAAAAAGAAAAAAAAAAAAGAAAAGCCCCAGTTATCTTTTAAAGTGCTTAGAATGTATATAATGCTTGTTAATACTTGTCTGTCCTTTAAATTTTCCTAAATGTATTTACAATGAAAAATTATCATAAAAGATGTACTTACTATGTAAAATGCAATAATCTTCTTCAAAGATGATGCTCTGTGAAAGGCTTGCAATTTTCTTGACCACCCTGAGTTTATTGATTCAGACCATCTTTCTTTTACCTTATATCTTGCAAGAAATAGAAATCCAAATGTCTTCACAAATCAACAATTCCCCATGCTATTCTATTTCTCAAACTTTTTCTCATTTTACTTTGTCTCCACTGAGGGGCATAGACTCAGTCTTCCTAGAGATTTAGGTACATACATCTCAGGATG